GACAGGAGTCTCTGCCTGATATTCGCAGGTTCCTAATTCAAATTGCTTTATTGTTGAAAAATACATCGTATTGACAAAGACAGAAAATAAATATATACATATTTAAAAAAATGTGTACATACTAATATAAATGTATATTGTACCCAGATACAAACAACCGATTGCAACAATATTCATTAAAATTTATAGGTACGACAAACTTTGACAGAGTTTGAGAATGTGATTTGTCTTAATGATATGAACATCAAATTACGTTCAGTCTAATAAAATTATACGATCATTAGATATTGAAAGATATATATAAGTGTTCTTCCAACTGGGTGTCAATTACAATATAGAATTACAAAATATATAAAAATATAATTATTTGTATGAATTGTATTAAATTTAAAACTGGCTGATTGGCTAAGGATCTATATATATTTTTTATTATAATTTATAGATACTGTAAAATAGAAGGTTAGATTTTTTATTTAAAATTGTACAATATTTATTGTATTATCTAAATTGGGCTTTTTTTCTTTATTTTGGACATATCGAGAGCCACAATGCAGGACCTCGTAACTAACATTGCCACTGAAAATTATATTTTATGATAATCTCGTTTAAAAGATTCCACTCCATCTACTGTATAAATGAAGTATGTATTAAAATTTTTGAACAAAATATGGTTAAATTTTAGTCCCATTATAGAGTAAAATGGATTGTTCTATGCACTTGTGAATCTTTTTTTTTTTGATCTCTTGAAAAATTTTGATTTTGCGACTTACGAGGTCTAGCCTTGTTGCCTTCGATATGTTGTTTACAGTCGTCAAAAGTAATTGTAAAATATATAAAAATATTAAGGTATAAATAAGTAAATTACATACAACTTAATTATATTATTTTTGAAAGAACTCTCGATCATTGCCTGATTAGAAATACGTCTTGTATTAGAAAAGTATTACATTTTTTTAACTATTATGCTTTATAAATTTTTTTATTGAGCTAGAATATACATTGGTCTACTTATTATAAGGTATACTTTCCCTTTTAAAAATTCTATAGCAGTATATGAAATACAAAACATACACAACATATTACAAGTAGATATTTTGATAAGAGTATCAGGTGTACCAATTATAACAACTACATGCCATTTATTGACATTTAATTCTAAGAAAACTACCTATTTGAAAACATTAACGACACAGTAAAAATGTTCCAGCATTGATACTTATCATATTTCTCTTCTTTAACACAGGTAGAACTTGCTAAGGGAACGAGTGTAACATTGCATCATTTATATGTCTGCTGTCTTTTTTGATATCTGTACCACATTTAGTTTGTTTAGATATCTGCATTTCTGTCTTCTTTACTGTATTTCTGCAATTAAAAAAAATCACTATTTACCAGATATTTACATGGAAAGATTTAAGATTATTAAATTTGCATGCTTATAGCTGTGCTTGTTTATCATCATATAGGATGCATCTGATGAAATGTGAATTTTTATCACGTAACAGAAGATTAGGGTTAAATGTAGATGTAATAAAGAAACACTCTAGACCTACTAGCCATGTGGTAAAAATGACAATGACAAGTTTTATACTTTTTGTGTTTGACCTTTGAGTCATTATAATATGAAAACAAAAGTAGTTGTCGTTGTAATTTTTCATATGATTATTTACTTTAAAACTATTTTTTGAATTAAAATACCTACTCTCTAGTTACTGATGGTTAGCGATACCTATATTATAGAAAAAATCTAAATTTGAAAACTTAACAAAAATCAAACAAATGATCATTTTTATATTCATGAGCATATATGGCTAGCATAAACAAAGGATAAATCGATAAACCTGTAACTGAACCTGGCATGGAACGAATCCAACAACAAAAAATGTCAAGTTTGACAATCCTCAAAATATCATTTTAAATAAAGAAAATATAAACAAACGCAGATGTAGTAGATGTGAACAAACAAATAATAATGCTCCAGAGGTAAAAAATGTGCATATTCAAATGCAAGCATATGAAACGAATAGTACATGACATTCAATCAAGTCACTTAAACATAAGAATGAATTCTTTTGTTTCGTTTTCAATAATTTCTATTGGGAGATCATCTCCACTATCTAAATTGCTTAAAATTCTGTAAAACAGTGGTATAATATAGACTGCATAGGCATTATGTTTAAATGAAGTATAAATAAACCTACCTAGCCTCCTTTGCATGAACTTCTGTAGCATGTTCTCTTTTTGATTACTTGGCAAAAATTAAGTAGCAGTAGCATTCCTTCTAATCACAGTTTTATCACTGACTAAAATTCAAAATGCTTCGAACATATTTTAAAATTTTCTTTGTGTGATCTTCCAATACTTTTTATCTAACCTAAAACAGATAAAAATTAATAAATATAATTTATAACTACATGCTGGTTATGAAACACATTTAATCTGGTAACTTACACATTAATGAATGATTTTGGTTAGTTTTCAATAATTTCTTTTGGTAGATCTTCTAAAGCCAGCACTATTAGAACTGCTTAAAATTCTATTAAAAAATGGTTTGAAAAGTTTACTAAAAAAAAGAAGGCTTCATTATAAATAGTGTTAGCACGCATATAGGGTATTACCTATATTTAAATGAAATAGAAATAAAACTTACCTAGCATCCTTTGGTGACATTTTCTGTTCATGAGCTTCTGGAACATGTTCTTTTTTTTATTACTTGGCCAAAATAAAGTAGGAGTGGCATTCTTTTTAATCACAGTTTTATCACTGACTAAAATTCAAAATAAGAAATGCTTGAACGATTTTGAAATATTTCCTTGGCATACATTTTCTTTATAGGAGCTTCCATTACATTAAGCCTTTTTTTTCTAACCTAAAAGACAAATAAAAACGAATAATTATATATAACTAGACAAGGTTTTTATTAGAACCCCAGTATGGATACTGGGCTACAACAATAATTAAATACCTAATTGATTCATCCAAAAATAATTGTTAAATACGGGTCTGTATTGGTGTTAAAAACTTACTTATGACAAGTTCTTCGGAATTATTTCATCGGTTTGGACAGAATAAAACTAAACATGTTTTAACCATTGTTTATAGAAGTCTTTAGGGATCAAAATAACTTTCCAAAACTCACAAAAACTTTAAAAATCGTACAAAAATTGCTAAAAATTACAACAATCACAAGACAACTAAATGTCAAATGTCACAATATTCTAACTAATGCGCAGACTCAAATCCTCCCCCGCATTTACGCTATCGTAAACGTTTTTGCTTGCCACCCGGGCAGCCATTTTCCTATCTCCCCTCTTCATGTCTATGCGACTTACCCAAGTCCGACCTGGGGGTCGATTCTCGACTTTTTTCCTATAGGAATTTGGTTGTTTTTCCTATAGGAAAGTAGGTTAGGTATTCTGGAGTCAAGTTGTAGGAATATTTTCCTAAGCAGTTATAGGAAATGAATTCCCATCATCATGAGACAGGGAATTTAATTTTCCTACAAGATTTTGTAATCGGGCTTGCGCAATAGTAGCTTGTTTAATGTGGTTATTGATTTATGCTTACTTTTTAGGCGATTCCAAACTCATTTAAAAAGAAACATACTACATATATTATTAAAAGTTAATTTTAATTTGAGTAAAATTATCCTATTTGAAATGTCTTTAAGTCAATAAATAAAGTAAACCAAAATCCATAAATTATTTATGAAAATTTACCAAAGAAACTAGTTAGGTATGTACTTTTGAGTCTTGTTTGAAATTCGCACATCAGGATTCCTCGACGGAGCCCAAACCAAGTTATAATGATGTATGATGTGAATTTTACTATAATTTGGTAAATATTGAAAGTATTCCTATATTTTTGTATTTCAAATTAGAAATTAGAGGATACAAGCATTAACCTTTTGGTGTAGGAAAAACATTTGTACTAGTTACTTTCTTTAGTTTCTACTTATAAATATAAATAACGGCAGGGCCGCCGAGAGCCAAGCCGGGCCCCAGGACAATTCTCTATATAGATCGGGCCCCGTGACAAAAAACAGCTCTTCAAACAAAAACTTTTCCTCCTCTACTTGGATTCAATTTTCTAAAAAAAAAAGCTTCCGAACCTATAAAACTTCCCCCTCTCGTCTTGTGTCGAATTTCTTTTCTCATACAAAACAAAAATTCCAGTTGCCGGGCCCCCCTTATACCGCTGCCGGGCCCCCATTTGTGTTTCGGCCCCCGGGAATTAGTCCCGGCTACAGCCCCTCTAGTCGGCCCTGAATAACGGTAATCACAATGGTAGTCCTTCTGAAACTTTTTCGCTTTCTCTTTTTGCTGCTAATAAAAAATATTAAAAATAAATAACCAGTACATCCAGAAAATCAAATATTTTTGACAAATTGCCTTGTTGCCAACTGTTAAACAACTATATTTAACTGAAATAAATACATTCCATTGGCTCGTTTCTGCGTTATCTTGAAATTATCAACGACATACTGAAATTGGAACTCCTACAGGAAATTGGATTCCTATTGTACTCGAGAATACCGACAACTAAAACTGTAGGAATATTATCATAGGAATTCATTTTCCTCGGAATCAAATTCCTACAACTCGAGAATCGACCCCCTGGGGGGCTATTTTCAAAGTATGGGAGTACTCATTTCTCTCAAGATTCTCATCAGAAATGTCATATGTCAATGTAGAAACCCTGTTTTTAAAGGCCTCAAGGATTAAAATTCTTAGGAGGATATTAATTATCTTTAAATAAACCGTGAGAAACAATCAGTGAGTTCACACTGGCCCTTAGGACCCTAAAAATTACTGTTTTACGTTGACGTATGACATTTCTCTCGAGAGAAATGAATTCTCTCGACTTTGAAAATAGCCCCCCAGGGGGTCAATTCTCGACTTGTAGGAACCTTTTCCTATAGGAATTTGTGACACTTTCCTACATGTAGACAAATGTCATAAATTTCCGATGTGTAGAAAAATGTCAAAAATTCCTACGAGTCGAGAATCGACCCCCAGTCCGACTCACGTAAGTTAGTTCTGTTTATAAATACGCATACGGGCCTGATGAAAGTCTGATGTGTAGTCTAAAAAAGAAGAAGAATTAGACAAATAAAAGTAACAACAAAAAATGCTTGTTAGGTTAGGATAAAGAGGAGGTTGAAGTTGAATATTGTTTAAACTTTTATGTACTTAAATTTGTTTAATAAATATGAGATACGCACAATTGGTAATCGGTCCAGCTGGTAGCGGAAAATCTACATATTGCTCCGCTTTGGCTCAACATGGAGTCGACGTAAAAAGAAATATAGAAGTTGTGAACCTGGATCCAGCAGCAGAATACTTCAATTATACCCCAATGGCCGATATAAGGGAATTAATTCACGTAAAGGATACAATGGAAGACGAAGAACTTCATTTCGGCCCCAACGGAGGTCTGATTTTTTGCATAGAATATCTTTTAGAGAACTCGGATTGGCTGCATGATAAATTAGGCGACCAGGAAGATGATTATATACTATTTGATTGCCCAGGACAAATAGAATTGTACACGCATCTGACGGCTATGAAAAAGTTGGTTAAACAGCTACAAGATTGGAATTTTAGTATTTGTTCGGTTTTCCTCGTTGATGTACAGTTTGTAACTGACGGTAGCAAGTTTATATCTGGTACAATGGCTGCTTTAAGTGTGATGGTTAATTTGGAACTACCTCATGTTAACATTTTATCCAAAATGGATTTATTAAGTAAAGGTGCAAAGAATAAACTGGACAGATTTTTAGAACCAGATTCTCATTTTATTTTAGGAGATATCGAGCTATGCGGAAACACAGCTTTTAATGTGAAACATCGTAAATTAACTGAAGCCATTGGAAAACTCATAGAAGACTACTCTCTAGTTAGATTCATTCCTTTAAATTTAAAATCTCTTGAGAATGTTGGTGATGTGTTGTTAACGATAGACAATGTTATACAGTTTGGCGAAGATCAGGATATAAAAACGAAAGATTTTGAAGATAATGATGACACTTAAAATATTTTTATTTTTTCATGTTCCTTTTTTAAAGTATCTGCTTAAGAATAAAAATAAAACTTGTTGAAAATTGTTCATATTTAATCAAGTTATACTATCAGTGGTATGTAGCCATTTATTTACCAAAAGTCCCTTTAACATTTATATGGGTAAAGCTTATGCTGCATAATGCACTCTTATATCTAATAATTTCTACAAGAATTGCCAACAGGTGAATAAGTAAACTAGATAAGTAACTGTCACGATTTGTTTGGGTGGAATATGTCCCCCTTGCATTACAGCTTTATGATTTTTTAGTGATTGATTCTGTCACGCCATTGGTGATTTTCAAATTAAGCTCCATATTATTTTGTGCTGACCAGGTGGGTCACAGTACCACTAGAGAGAGAAAACCATAAAGACAGTGGTGACCTGCAATCTTTATGTATTCTGGTTGAATATATTGATAAAAATTAGTGTTACATTGTAGAAAATACCTGAAAAACAATTCAGTAACTTTTTCACAGGATATGGTGCTTGTTTTTTCCGTTTATACTATGTAACGTTTTTAAATCCTATTTTTTTATGTTCAAGTTTCCTAGAAATCCTGAATTATAAAAATATAAACAATATTTTGATTTCAAAATGTTTAGAACATATTTCAGCATTTTTAACAAATTGAATATTATTATAAGATTACATAAGGAATGCTATATGATAATATAAAAAGTGAAAAATATATACACTTGGGATTATTCAGTCATGCCCAAAGTTAAAAATAGTTTAATTGGTATAAGTCAAAATTTTGGAGGAAATACAGGAATTTTTGATTGAAAGTGACTTATTTAGAGTATTTGAAAACAATATGTAAAAAGTTTGGTTTTTCAGGCTCCGGCAAATGGGAAAAAACAAGAAAATAAAGTGTTTTTTTAAGGTTATTTAAAAACGGTAGGTGCTATAAAAAAAATTCTTAATAAAAATTGTAAAGCATAAAGTTTTACATAAAAATTATATTTAGCATTTTTGCAATTATTAAAACTAACAAGTTAGGGTGGTTAGAAGTTAAGAGGAGATATAGGTATAACGTCGCCCTTCTCACGAAGTGGCATAAGTAGCAAATAGTTAATTTTACAGGAAAGCAATAAAACGAAAATACTTAATTCTCAGGTCGACATAATATATAGAGGCATTTAGAGTTTGCGCTTTCAAAATTTTATCATGGAATGCTAATGCCTTGTTTTATTGTTTGGTAATTCCAGATTAGCCAAACTCCCTCGGGATTTTTTAGAACAGTTAGTGAGAAATATATTCTGCGTTATTGCAGATAGGACACATAAGTATAAGCTCTATTGCACGCATTATTAAGGTTGTATATGTGCCACTTCGTGAGATGATAAAGTAGGTCAACACTAGTTAATCCGCATAAAAAAACATTTTTTTAATTTTTGTGATAAGGGCGACGATATGTGTTGAAAATGCAATAGGTTTTTATTTACTTAGAAAAATATGAACTTTTCAGAAAAATATTTTTTTCATTTGTTTTTTTTTAAGTGGACAATTTAAATTTACAAATTTTCAATACATTATACGACTTTATATGGTAAAATATATTTTGAAGTGAACTTATTATGGCTTGCCTGACACGAAAAATATGAGTAACCAACTAATAAAAATGACATTGCGACAGTTTAGTCCCCACTTGAAGTTTCATTAAGTAAATAAAAATTAATAAAAACTAAATAAAAATGATTAAAAATAATAAAAATAAATAAAGAACATAAGTAAATAAATATATAAATAAAATTACACAAAAATAAATCAAATTAAATGAAAAGATAAAAGTAAAAGAAAATAAATAAAAATAAATAATATTAATTAAAAATGAGTAAAAGTAAATAAAAATTAAAAAATAAATGAAAATTATTTGAAAGAATTTAAAAAATAAATATAAAAAACAAAAAAATAAATAAAAAATAAATATAAATAAAAGCAATTAAAAATGAATAAAAATAAACAGAAATAAATAAAATTACCTAATTAAAAATGAGTTGTAAAAAATACATAAAAATTAAAACAAAATAAATACAAAAAATAAATAAATGGAAAAAATAAAAAATAATTTAAAAATAAGTAAAAGTAAATAAAAATTAATTAAAAATAAAAAAAAATAAAAATTCGTGTGCGTGGTGAAGTAGGGAGAGGATGGTGTTTTTAAAAAATAATAACAAAATTATTTGTTTTAAATTAACTGAAAAACGAAATTTTCGAAACGTCATAAAAAGTGACAGTTGACAGGTGAAACTCACACGTCTAGAGAGTCGAACTGTAATACAAACTCCCTTTCACCGTCCACCCAATTCACGGAAAAGGGAGCAAGCGGATTTTTGCACGATTTTTCGTGGTTACCATGGAAACCGCCTAACGGATTTCGACGCAGATTTTTTTAAAAAGCGTCTCATGGTTTTACAACTTCTGGCCAAGTTTCATTGAAATCGATTGATCCGTTCAGACGGTACGAAATCTTTATATATTTTTATTTATTTATTTTTAATTTTTATTTATTTTAATTTTTAGTTTTACTCATTTTTAGTTAATTTTATTTATTTTTATATTTATTTATTTATTTTTACTTACATTTTTTTTTAATATAATTTTTTATTTAATTTTATTTATTTTTGCTTTTTTTATTTATTTTTAATAATTTTTATTTATTTTTTATTTTATTTTTATTTATTTTCGTTTATTTTTATTTATTTTAATTTAATTTATTTTCTTTTACTTTTATCTTTTTATATAATTTTATTTATATATTTATTTTTATTTAGTTATATTTTTTAATTTATTTTTATTATTTTTTATTTATTTAATGGAACTTTAAGTGGGGACTTGAAAAATCGTGCAAAAATCCGCTTGCTCCCTTTTCCGTGAATTGGGTGCACGATGAAAGGGAGTTTGTGTTAGAGTTCGACGCTCTAGACATGTGAGTTTCGCCTGTCAACTGTCACTTTTTATGACGTTTCGAAAATTTCGTTTTTCGGTTTATTAATAACAAATAATTTTGTTATTATTTTTTAAAAACACCCCCATCCTCTCCCTACTTCACCACGCTTACGAATTTCGTATATTTTTATTTTTAATTAATTTTTATCTATTTTTATTTACTTTTACTTATTTTTAAATTATTTTCTATTTTTTCAATTTATTTATTTTTTGCCCAGACAACACACCAAATACCAGAGATATCCACAGAATATCTTTTGTGGATATCCAATATATCCACAGGATATCAGAAATATTCCGTGGATCTAATATGGATATCCAAATGTCCGTCTATATCCAGAATATAGAAGATATCATATGGATATCCAGCAAAATATCTAATGAGTATCTTCCAGACAATACAAGAAATCCCAGAGATATCCACAGAATATATTCTGTGGATATCCAATATGGATATCCAACCAAATGTCCGTCTATATCCCAGGATATAGAAGAATTCGGATATTCAGCAAAATATGTTATAGGTATCTTTAGTAGAGGTTCATAAGTAACCAATGATTATTGAATAAAGTCGAAAGAAAATAGAGATAAAAAATATTTTCAACACTCTGCCTTTGATTTTGCCCACTAAGGAGAAATGGCAATTCTCGACTCCAGTCTCTAATGGAGTCTGATTGTGAAACAAATTTCGATCGAACTCAATTACGGCGGGTTGAGCATGAGTAGATGCGAAAGTAGTATCGCCATCTATACTTAGTAAGCAAAATCAAAAATTACATCTAGTGGATATCTACGATGGTTTGCGTTCGCGCCTAGACTTTGATATATTTAGTGGATGTCCATGGGATATTGAATACACTGTAGTGCCTCGATTGAACTACATACATTCGTACACCTATTTTCGGACACCTTCATTATGGGGCAGCCTTGATGAAAGTTAAAATCACTTCCATAGCAACATCTGTTACCATGGATCTATTTATAGATTATCATTATGACTTTTTTTTATTTTCACTATACATGACATGTCATCCATTTCTATCTACAATAATTTCACATTCATCTACAAATAATTTATGATGGGATCTACACAATTAAAAGATCCCACATTGGTGACCCCGACAATAACACGCATGGATAGAAACGAACTTCCGATGTAACTAGTCGTAGAAATCATTACGGAGCTGCAGCAGCTACAGAAATAAGAGCAGTAAAACCAGCCATAGAAACCACTATAGAACTGCAGAAGCAATGGCAATAGCAGCAGCAAAGAATACCTACCCAAGAAGCGAAACTAAATGGGCGATTCGTGGACAAAAAACTGCCAAGTTTTCTCAGTGTTTTAGAGGTGGTTTAACGTCAAATATAGCTGTCATTTATCTAGAGCAACGTTTGGTATATTATTATTATTAGCGTTTTGTGAAAATTGCGGTACTCTTTAAGTAGTTGTATTTAACTAAGTAGTAATTAGAAAGTTTTAAAATTTGTATTACATGAAACCAAAAAAATACATTGCTTTATTCGTAAATTTTATTGAACGTTTTTGAATCTGACTGTCAATTTTTTTTTTTTTTAATATCTAAATCAGTATTACCTATGATAATTTTTATTTAAATATGTTACAAAACAATAATTAATATATATGAGAAACTCACTTCGAGGAACCAAGTCGCTGCTATCAGAATACAATCGAAATGCATTTACAGCTACCTACAGTACTTCTAGATATGTAACGTGTAGAGGGTGCTATACCCCACGGCACTTACGCCTTACTAGGGCCATTGTGTATCCTCCTAAAATGATAAGCATCTCCTAACTCGTAAGCCAGCCTACAGATTTAATGTAGTTGACAACGTCGCCAAAAGGTGCTTCTCTTATATCGGCCGGTGTTAGCCAATACTCGCCGAAAACAAATCTTTTAATAAATGAGAGCGACTGACAATCGTAGAGGATATGTTCAATGCAGTGATCTCATCTTTTTGTTCGCACCCCCTGCAGGGTGCGTATTCTGACAACCCCATTATGTGGAGATGCTTCCGTACTTGGCAATGACCAGTCAGAATGCCTGTGATCAGACGCAGATTTTGTCTAGTCGTAGTCAAGTATTTGTTTGTTGTAGTGTTGTCAGGATAACTTAAAAGCTCCCTGGTAATTCAGCAGTTTCTTGTTTCATCCCATCTTTCCTTCAATTTCACAAGGGAATATTCTTTAATTAGGTCTGTCACTACCGATGTTGTCAGTCCAATAGAAGGGTCAGGTCCAAAAAGGATTTGTTTGGCCGCCGTCTTGGATGGTAAATCAG